ATTTCTGTTGCTTTGAGTGATTCCTGGCCCCCTTGTGAGTGTATAACTGCAAAAGCACTCTTAACATACTCTATCAAATGTAAACCCACTCTATCTGTCAGGTCTTTATCAGTCATAGACCAGTCTGGGTGTTCAGGGGTCAGAGGAATGGGATTCTCTCTAACTGTAGTAGTACAGTCATTCAAATTATTATCTTCCATCTGTTCTTCAATACAAGAAGGATCATTAGAGATTTTCCAAATAACCTCATCATTCATTTTGGTTACCTCATGGCTCTTTTCTAACTTGGAACATGCCTGGATAGATTCAAAGGTCAGGGAATCCATTTTTCCTCCAGGGACCATTAACTGCTCTCTCAGGGAACCTATTACTTCACAAGCACTCTGCACATGCTTAGTGAGATCTAGCCCAGTTAAACAAGGTGCAGGAATTTGATCAGAAATTGCCACATCCCAAATTCCAACCCTGTCTCTATAGTTTTCACTTTAGCCATGGATAAAATCACTGGAATAGAACTTATTCCCTTGATGGTAATAGTCTGGTTTGGGAGAATTTGTTATTTAGGAATCACATCAGGATGACAAGGGGTTATGTTAGAACAAGTATCAACCACTCCAACATAAGACTTTTAATTTCCTTTTCCTCTCACCAGAGTTATGAAGTAAAACATCTTCTGCCTTTACTACAAAACCATGCACAACCTGGGCTAGTGGCAGATCAGAATTTTCTGCCATGCCAGTTGCCATGGAAACAGAACCTTGGTTACTGCTTTTCTCAGCGGCTTTAGCTGGCTTTAAACAGTAAACCCTTTTGGGCTGATTTTCATCCTTCCCAGTATTAAGTTTATGATTCATACAATTAAACTGTAAATGACCAAACCTTCGCAGTTATAACATTTGTAAGACCTTCTCACATTCTGAGGAGATCTGTTCACTTATCTTTTCCTCAGGTTTCATTTGTGTCTGAGAACTAGGCCATGCTAATTTAGGTGAAGTACTACCCTAGCTACCTTTCCCAGATGCTTTGCTGAGGTAATTTTTATTAAAGGCTTTCTTATTGTTGTCCCAGTTTTGCATGTTAAAATTTTCCTCAGAGAACCTGTGGTTTCGAATCTTCCCAATGTAATCCGCTGTTTCACCTGCTTCTAATAGATTTTTGGGGTTTTTGTCCTTAACTAAATAACGCAATTCCCCAGGCAAGATAGAATAAAATTGTTCCAACCCAATCACATTTTTCATCTGCTCATGAGAAGTGACCTTTTCATGTTCCATCGATTTCTCCAAACATTGCAGCAGTTTAGCTCCTAGCTGAGAATAAGATTCCTCAGGTTTTTTGGTCAGGGAATGAAATTTTCGCCTCAGGTATTCTGCATTGATACCATATCTAGAATAAACCATTTTTCTATAGGCCTCAAAATCTCTGGCCTGCTCTAGAGGCATCTGTGAATAAAGTTCAGCTAAATCTCTGCTTACTGTATTTGGGATCTCAGCACTATCATCCTTCATCTTTGATATTAAAATCACAGTGCACATTCAAAGGAAATGAGAGATTCTGGGCAGTCACCTTTTCTATATTGGGGAATTATCTTTAGATCAATCTTTGAGAGATTTCCCTCACTTGTGCTATTGTTATTGTTACTGTTATTTTGAGAAGTTAATTCTAATTGTTTCATCTATAATTGAAACTCCAATTCTCTTTGTCTCAATTCCATTTCTCTTAATTCCATTTCTCTTTGTCTATTTTCTTGCTCAAAAGCTATTTGTCTGGCCTCTTGCTCAGTTCTGGCTTTTTCTCTGATTTCTAGTCCCCTGAGCTATAGCTTGTTAGCTTTCTCCTCAGCTATGGCTTTTTCTCTAATTTCTAATTCCTTTTGTCTGAGCTTGAATTCTTGTTCCAATTTCTATTTTTCAAAACCTTGGGAGCTTAGATCCCTTTGTCCCTCTGAGGCACCCTCCTCAGTCTCCTCCTGTTCCACTGGAGCTAGAGGGTCTCCATTTCCCTCCACTTCCTGAGATAAACTTTGTGCCTCTTGAGGATCAATTACCTCCATTACTGACTTTTTAGTTCTTTTCGGTGGCATATTATTCTGAGTTACTTAGTCTTGAGTGTATTTACACTGATTTTAAAAAGGACCTGTCTTTCTTCTAATTCCAGTCACTGAAATAAATTGCTGTTTCAAGCCTCTGCTTTTTCTTCTATTCCCTCAGATCTGTTCTGACCCCTGGCTTCTGCTTTTATCCACCAGC